TATTAGACATTCGAATTGCATACACATTAGTTCGCAGGCAACATGGGCAAGTTTTATGACTATGAAAATTACACGAATTTAGTAAGGAACAGTTTTAAAACAGCTGGAAAATTCAGAGGCTACATAATGCATTGCATATTGGTCATATAAAGTATTAAAAATACAAGAAACTAACCTTGTTTAACGGTCGGGTAGCAGAAAACTATGGCTTGCCTACAGCATAGTGATGTGTCCTTTGCGAGTGATTCGTTCTATAAAAACAAATCTTTAATCATGAAAGAATCATGAAAGATTCGTGACCCGTAACTTCCGAGTCATGAAGTCAAAGACTTGTTCATATTGAACTCACGAATCACTCACAAATCACTCTCTGCGAAATTATCACTCTCTGTGAACTAATGTTTTACTGCGAACTAATCACTCATTGCAAATGAATCACTCTCTGTGAACTAATCTTTCACTGTGAACTAATCACTCATTGCAAACTAATCACTCTCTGCGAACTAATCACTCACTGCGAACAAATCACTCACTGAGAACAAATCACTCTCTGCGAACTAATCTTTCACTATGAACTAAACTTTCATTGCAAACGACTCACTCTGTGAACTAATCTTTCGCTGTGAACTAATCTTTCACGATGAACTAATCTTTCGCTGTTAACTAATCTTTCACTATGAATGAATTATTCTCTGTGAACTAATTTGTTAATTGCAAATGAGTCACTCTCTGTGAACTAATCTTTCCCTGTGAACAAGTCACTCTGTGAACTAATCTTTCACTGTGAACTAATCTTTCGCTGTGAACTAATCACTTTCTGTGAACGAATCCTTCGCTGTGAACTAATCTTTCACTGTATTCTTTTATCCATCTACCATGTATTCAAAACCCAAATTCCAGCTGATGGTGACAGTATTGTTTTAAAGCTGCTCAAAATGTTTGTTGTGGGATTTATACGGCTCATTTTGTTATGAATTCTTTATTTTTACTGACGGTTTTTGTAGTTTGTGTTGGTTCAGGTTAATTTAGCTGAATAAGTTGAATAATTTGGATTTTTATTTTTTGTAATAGACCTGCTGGTAGAGAAATGTGAAAACCACTAAGGATTTTGGTTAAAAGAAGTCTTATTTATTTCTAAAGGCACTTTATGTTATCGGTTTTACATAAAATGTGGAATACATTTCACCAAAGTTGATTTTTTTTATTGGACTGTTGAATAATATAGAATTATATTTTTTTGAAAATTATTGATTTTTGACAGTAAATGTTTTGGAAAAGTAACCAGTTAACTGGTTAACTGGTTGTATATGCTTGTATAGGCTGCTGCTACAGGTACACTTTTTTCTGTTGGTTCTATGCTGTTGGATCAACTGGTGATTTCTCATGAATAAAAGATAATGGAGACACATTTGTTTGGTCACCTTGATTAATAAATACTGACAAATATACCTTGTGAAAAAGTATGAAGTAGCCACAAACTGAGGGAAAAAAGTGCATAGATATTCATAAATATCATGATAATTGTTAAATAATCGAATAGCACCCCCTGAATCGTGATCAAATCGAATTGTGAGGTCCCTTAGATAGCACACTCCTAATTTTTACATTAACACGCTGTATTATTTGGGTGTTATAATTACCTTATGATATACATTGTCTGGCCAACCTTAAATATCTGTCCACTTACACTCAGCTATGTTGACTTTGTGTGGACTTCCATCGATTATTTTCAACTTGTTCAAGTATCTTGCCTTTGTAATTGTGTCTAGTGAATCTCCATACAACAATTTTGCTCTCCCTCTGGCAATTTAATACTCTTGTCTTTTGTTGTCATTATTGATTGTTTACTTCTATGTGTTCTTTTGCCACACATCTAGAACCACATTTATATTAAAAGAAGGTTTTTATGGTTTAGATACATAACTGTTACAGAATTTAAACAAGTTTAAACCAATGTGCGTCACCAGAGAAGGTTTGCAGGCACTGTTTGCACCTTTTATATATTTTTGACAAAACTGGAAAGATTTATAAATCGAATTTTCTTCTGTCAATTTTTTGTCCTATACTCGATTATATCTTTTTGCTATTTTTCTACTGTAACTGGAATACAACAGTTTTTAACTAATGTTTGGTTGGGGTTGAGGTGGGGAAAAATGCAATTGACATACGAGTGCTGTTGTAGAACAGAACTCATATCTCGAAGCCCTTTTGCATGTCTATTATACCTCTTTTAATTATACTTAACTCTTAACATGTACTAAATACACAACTTATACAGATTTATATAATTTTATAGATGTATTACCTAATTGTTAATGGTTGAGTTACGGTTGAATTACTCTCAGCTAGCTCAGACATGACGATAGCTAACATTAGTTTTTGGCTATTTTTACCTTAACCTTAGTTATTTTTTAGAAAAGTTACAATTTCAAGCAACTTTAAAATATTGAACTATTGTTTTGACTGATTAGCTGGTTTTATGTTAATTAGCTGAAAGCATTTTCAAAAAGACCTTTGGCAACGTTCTTTTCTAACCTTTAGCTTTTTTTTAAGATGACTTCAATAATATTTGTTCTAATACTAATGTTTTGGCTAACTTAACTGTAAATGATTTGTTTGCAAACCACCTGACTTAAATATGTTCAACTAGTTTAGCTATTATAACTAATTTTGGCATACAAATTAGACAGAGCGTTATAGTAAGCCCTGAATCTTGGCCATACATTTCAGGCTTTTTTACAGTGGTATGAAAAAGTTTAGGCACCCCTGATCATTTTCAAGATTTTCCTTTATGTATCATTAGTTGTTCGGAACAGCAATTTCAATTAAATATATCATATAGCAAACAAACACAGTGATATTTAAGAAGTGAAATGAAGTTTATAGGATTTACAGAAAGTGTGCACTACTACTTAAACAAAAGTAGGCAGGTGTAACTAATGTTAACTTTTAGTAGACTTCTTTTGTTACTTTTAGATTTTAAATGAAAAACTCGCATATTGGTGGCATAAACTGGTGTGAATGTCTGTTGTTGAATATAGTTATTGAAAGAAAAAATAAAGAAAGAACTATATTTATCCTTTTGGCATTACAGCACCAAAATGACAGGAATAACACACAAATAGATAGAATACAAACAAGAGTACTAGCACATTGTCAAAGAATATGGGAATCCTGAACAGTGGATGTCAGTAGGTTAGTAGTAGTAGATAGATTAGTGTTAATAGTAGTAGTATACTAGTAGATAAGTATTGTTGTTGTGTGTGGTGTTTGCGATCTCAGTTATTATTTATTATATTTTTATTATTACTAAATTAGTTAGCAAATATTATCACATTATATAAGCAACAATACAACAAAATGAAACAATGGTTTGAAACAATGGTTGGATAACTTTGTTATATATTCTATGTGATCCGACAGTTTTCACATCTTTCATGTAACTCGGATGCAATGTCGTGTCTGACTTACTTGTACTTTTGTAATATAAGGCCTTAACTACCGTCTTCATGCTGCTGAGTATAAATCTCAAGTTGTGACTTTCCTCCACAGACCCTCATGCCGTGTACATTACTCCACATTGCAACTATCCTCCGCTAATTGTGTCAAACACCGGCCTGCGCTGGCTCTCCTCTCCCGAGCTTCCTCTGAAGTTGCAGATGCAGGCATGAGGTCTTTCGGCCTGGGTGGTCTCTCTACTTTAGTGAGCTGTTGCTAAGCAGGTAATAATAGTCGTGTTTGGGAGTAATTTTTGCCCTTCTGGAACCAATCAGATGCAAGGAAGTCCTTGCAATATGACAACCCCAGAAGGCGGGATCTCGGTTCTTTTTTCCTCCCTCTTAGCCCCCCTTCTCCCCCTCTGCCTCCAAATGGAGAGAGGTCTTTTCTCCTCTTCTGTTGAAACTCAGAATTGGCCATGACGCGCGGCCCATGGGAAGACCACATAGATCTCTAGCAGAATGCCACGACCATCGAGCTTTCCTAGCCATCGACTCCTGTGTGGGAATCACTTTGCGCACGTCTCCTTCTGAGAGAAACCTGCTTTATTTGTACTTTTCCGAGAGACTCAGTAAAAGCGGCGGAGACCCCCGGATCACGAAATGTTGGGATGGAAGGCGCAGACTTTGATTCGCCGTCTCCAGCAGGAGTATGAAGTCCGGGAATCTGTAACCATATCGCAGTCCCCGCAACATGGCCTCGGCCGCTAATGCGCCGTCCGAGCAGGAAAACGGAGACTTAGATCGGCCGAGAGTAACGCGGAGGAACCGGGGGAACTACTCCCGGAGCACACCGCTGGATTTGGAGTATTTGCAGCGGCCGAGTTACTGCGATGCCGGCTTTGCTTTAGAGCAAATATCAGAGGTGATTGCCGTAAATCCTAATACCTAAAATCGTAAATCCTAACTCCTAATACCGCGATCCATGCTGCTGGTTCCTTTGGATTCTATGGGTCCAAACTAAGTCCAGTGGCTGCTAGGTAACGGGGCGGGCAGGTCAGGAGGGGGGACACAGGGTTAAAGCACGGTTGTAGCGAACCGTGCGGATGCCTTCTATTTATTTGCAATATTCACACTTAAATCAGTGCTGCCGGCACCTGCTAAAAGATGCCAAGCGGGATCAGTGTGCGCACAGCACATACATAGGATTACCGTTCCTTTACCGTAACATCCAGAGCTGTAACGGTCTGAGGAAGGGCAAAACATGCAGCTTGCATTCGTAGTGAACACGAGAACTGACTCTCTCATAACGTCCACACTGACGTTTGGCAGCGCAGGAGCAGCGTAAGAATGATTTGGCGGATGAGGGTTTTTTAGAAGCTTGTGTGTGAGAGCGAGTCAGTTAAGTAACTTCAGCTGAAGACAAACAGTGAAATCCATGTGGTTGCCTTCAATGGATCACAAATATTGGGAATATGTGACGGCTCCCCACTCTCCATGCAGGCCAGAGCCCACAGACTGCTCCAGTACTGTTTACTTTCCTTTAAAGGACCATTGCTGATGTTATTATTTAATTCTTTAGTACTAGTTCTTTGACTAAGTACTCACTTAGTGAGTACTTATGTTTTTTTAGTATAGGGTAAAAGTTTGGCATTAACCAGTTGTAGTTAAAGTTTTGGTTAAAATGTACAATTAATTGAAGTCAGTGCAGAGTTCCTTACAGGTTATGTGCCGAAGTGTGTTTTTTCTGTGTGTTTTGTGGCAGTGGCCGCAAGGTGGCGCAGTATAAGCCAATGCCACACTGCTACTGTCCTACACCAAAAGGTCGCAGGCTGGGAAGTGCTGCATGAAACACCTTTATGTTGGAGATTGCTTGTTTGTCTCTGTATGTGGCATTGCGTTGGACTGTCTAAAGTGTACCTTGTATTCTGCCAGGTGATCATTGGCTTCCAAATAGCCATGCATTCTTGACAAAGCAGTAGACGATGACTGGACTATGCTGTGTAGGTTTTAGTCTTTTGAATTTGTCTTGTCCTGTTGCATTCATATGTTCCAACATATGTAAAAAAAAAAAAAACTTATTCAAAGTGAATATTTTGTGTTGTGGTCTTCCTGAGTCTGTAACCTTGTGTGTGTGTGTGTGGGGGTGGGTGTGTGTGTGTGTGAGTGTGTGAGAGAGATAGGTGAATAACCACAGCCTGGCTTCTTCACTTGTGGCTGAGCAGCAGCATAATGTCTAACAAAGTTATTGTTGTTATCCCAGCAGTGACAGCAATTGATCATACTCTACAGGTGAACTGCAGAGGATTAAGATGTCATCCCCTTACGCACATTCTCCTTAGGTTACAGTTTATACATATTACTGGTATGACACAACTGGCGTCTGTCGCTCTGGGAAGTTTTGCAGCAGTTTCCTGGTGGTCTCCCTGACAGATGTGTATATTTTAGTCACTACAACCGAGATTGTGCTTAAGTATTTTCATCACCTTAAGGGATAAAAAAACCTTTTTATTAGAGGCATGTTTTGCATTTAAGTCTAAATTAAAGTATACAAAAAAAAATCTTTCAATATTGAATGTTCCTCCTTCTTCAGATTCCTGTTTTTGAATAGACAATAACTTTTGGATTTCTGTCTTGATTGCAGGGGAAGGCAACTGGGAGGAAAGCGCCCCTATGGCTGAGAGCAAAGTTCCAGAGACTTTTATTTAGGCTTGGCTGTTACATACAAAAGAACTGCGGAAAGTTTTTGGTTGTGGGCCTCATGATTTTCGGAGCTTTCGCTGTGGGCTTGAGGGCTGCTAATTTGGAGACGGATGTGGAGAAACTCTGGGTAGAAGGTAAGTCATTTGTGTTGGTTATATGCTGTTTTCAAAAGATTAAACTCACATCCATTGTTCTGTGTATTGTTTCACAAAAATGTGCTAAAACTATTTTCCATTACTATAATGTCTGAGGGGGCACAAAGTGGTTTTGTTTGGGAAAAAAGACAGTTGGTGGGTGCTGCTACAAAACCAGGGGAATTCTATATGGTTTACACTCTGGCAAGTGTCCAAGAGAAAATTGCAAATCATAATTTCTTCACTACTTGCACTGTTTCAAACCATACTAGATGCATGCACGAGATGTGCAAGAAGTGGCTGTAATTGCACCTAAAAGTAAGGTTGTAATTTAGTTCATAAGCAGTTTTTGGTGTAGAAGAAATTTTTGTCAAAGCCGCCATTTTGTGTGTGAGTGTGTCTGCCTGCCTGCCCCCAGCAGTTGAATGCTCAGTGACTGTGTGTGGTCCCGTTTTGGACAGCTCTCAACTTTCCAAAAAGATTTGTCTCTGGCTGGAGGGAAAAAGTGGAGCAAGGATAGGAACTTGTTGTGGAGCGGAGGGGCTGCTGACTTGTTGATTAAGAAAAATCTCACGAGGAGCATTGTTTTTATAGAATAGGGGACTGTTTTTATGGATGGTGCTTGGGGGTAAGAGGTGGTGCCTGGGGGGTAGGAGGAAGGGGCTGTGGGATTTCTTTCCCTTCTTTCCTTTGAGGGCAGAGTATGTTGCGGGAGTCATGAATGGAGGAAAGGACAGAGAAATTGATGCATAGATTGGGGCAAAGTAAAGATAGAAAATACTTTTTACAACAGAGTTTTCTGTTTTTGAAGTTGCACCTTTACTTTCTAAATCTACTCTTGTTGTATACACAATATGAAATACCAAATTGAACCTGATAACACCTAAATACACCTCAGTATTCTCACCTTGTGTACTAGGTGAGGGTTTGACCGTCAGAATGTTCTTCTCTTCAGAATGTTTTTCTCTTCAGAATGTTCAGCACTGGCACAGATGGAAGCTGTTTAAAGCAGGGGGACTTCCTTAGTACCGGCCCGGTGATTATAGAGATAGTGACACATTGTTTTCTCACCCTTTTCACATGTCAGGCTGTGGTCATGTGCTACAGTGAGGGGGACCATGTTAGACCAAATAGCATCACACGCCTGACAGTACATCCTGTGGGGTTTAAAATGGATTAGTAGGGGGAAAAATCTCCTGTTGACTTGTCTTATTTTGAATGAAATAGTTCTCCGTTTAAGGTATGTTTTTTAAGAAATGTAATCTGTGTTGAAAATGAACAGAGCGGATCAATGTTCTGCATTTGCAGTATAGGGTTATGACTGTTATCTGTCAGGTCTGTCTGTGTTGTGTTGTGTTGTGTTGTGTTGTGCTGTGCTGTGGCTCGGCTCTGCGTATGCTTCTGTCCTGGTCTTTGGAAGTGAATTTTGATTTTTGAAATAAACTACCTGAACCAGTCCTGTATTTGGGTCCTGCCTGCTTCCTGCCATGTTGATGGCTCATCGTGACAATTAACGTAATTAATGCACGGGAATAAACAATTCTTGCTGGCTTTTAACAACCACAAAGCACCTTCTCTGATGGAGAATGGCATTAACAAAATAGTTTGTCCTTGACTGTTATTAGTCACACCAATAAACACTCTGTTTTAAATAAGTTTTGTCAAGATGTTTGTCAAAGAAAAGAAGCTGAATTATTTGTCGTTGCACACAACAAAATGTTATTTCTGCTTTTAACCCATCACCAAAGTGAGCAGAGGGCAGGTTAAGCGCCCTGGGAGCAGGAATTTTCTGAAGACTGACTGGTGTAGAGCTCCAGCTGTATATGGTGCTGTAAAAACAATTCAGTGCTCAGTTAAACAATTACGGCCAAACAACTCACAAAGTAAGGGGAAAATGCAAGTTAAAAGGATGTCTTTCTAGCAGAGATGGCTTATTTTGACTACAATACTGCATACTCTTTTAACCTGTCATGTAGAAGTACGATTTGCTCAGACCTTTACTGTTTCTTTCACATAGTGCATCAATAATTGACAGAACTGAATGGATCTATGCTAAACCCGTCCAACATTGGCTCACACTGATACACAGAGATTTTTGATTGATTGATTGATTGAAGTTTATTTCGATATGAAAATGAAAGAAAAAAAGGAATACATATTGAGTATTGACAAACATAGAATGCATATTCGAAAAAAGGAGTAGGAAGAAGTAAAACTCCCACCCATTATCCTTAGCTAACGAATAGCAGTCTTCCTTTCAAACCCATGTAGACACTCATACACACATACTGTATGTATATATACCAATAACACACATTCAGTATTCTATACACACCTGCCTATATGTACAAACATACTATGCTACCTGACACCTTCCTCATCCATATACCTCTTCAAATTAGTGACTTTGTATTTCTTTTTAAAATTGTGTCATGCTCCATGGCTTTTCCATAGTCTCTCCCCGCTAATTAAAACACAAAAACCCTTCCTTGTTGTGCGAAATAGTGGTCATTTAAAGTTAATTTTCTCCCTTAGGTTATAACTCCCCTAATGAATACTGATGGTTTCTGGATGTTTATTGGCAACAGATTGTTTTTAGCTTTGAACATTAATTGAGCTGTTTGATAGTTGACAATGTCTGGAAATTTTAGCAATCTGGAGTGAAGCAATAGTGAATTTGTGTGTTCCTGATAGCCGACATTGTGAATGATCCGTATTGCTCTTTTTTGCATGATGGTTAGTGAACATAGTTTCCAATCTGTTGTTGAAGAGTTTTTCCAGTATTTTTGCAAATTGTGGGAGCAAGGAGACATGTCTATAGTTTGTGAAATAGTGTTTGTTTCCAGCCTTAAACACAGGTATAACTTTAGCTATTTTCATCTTATTTGGGAATGAACGTTTGAAAGGATATATTACAGATGCTTTTGAATGGCTCAACAGTGCCCTCAATTACCTTTTTTTATCAGTGACATATTGATATCATTGAAGTCAGTGGAGTGTTTGTTCCTGCAGTTCTGTACCACCTTTTAAAATTTCCATTTTATCCACCTTTTGAAGAAACTGAGAGCAAGGATTTCCCTCAATTAAATGCTTATCATCTGTGCCTGAGATAGGGATTTTTTTTAGCAAGGTCAGGTCCAACATTTACAAATACCTGTCTAGCTCCTCCCTGTTCATGATGACAACAACTTTTGCTTGCTCTGGCGTTCTATTCAACTTGATAAATACTTCGCAGTCATAGGTCCATGTACTTTGAATTCTCCCCTGTTTTTTTCAGAATATGTGCTTTTTTGTAGTAAAATGCTCATTAATAAATACGTTTGTTTCTTTTAGCATCCGTTCTTGCTTCAGCAGTGAAGATTTGTGTTTTCTGTTCACAAGTCTTATGATGATTTCTGGTGCATTGGCATAATTTCTTCGCTTCAATTCCCTTTGAGTGGAGAAAGGCAGTCACCTGTTGTTCCGCAGATCTATCGTCCATATCACCAGCACCCCACGCCACGACC